GGTGGATTCCTGGTGATTCTGTACCTAAACCCGAAAGGAGTTCAGCTCCAGTGGTGGGCTTCACGATGCGGCCCCAGGAGATCTTAGCATATCACTTTGATGAGACAATTATCAGGGATGCCCTGGTGCCCTGCATGGTGCTGGGCCTGGGACAGGCCCTCAGCACTGCTGGAGGGATGGACACAAGGGTCCAGCTGGCGGATAATTTCCGCAGGGCCCGGGGCCGCTGCTGCTGTTCCCGCAGTAACCGAGTGAGCTAAGCAAGTGGATGCCTGCCCAGCAGGGGCAGCGGTGGGGGTGGGTGGGGGTGGTGCCCGCTGGATTTTGGTTTGGTAGAACCAGCTCATCCTCCCTGGCTTCTTCCTGGAGGCCCCCTCGAGGCACAGCGGCAGGACCTCTGTTGTCAGGCACACCCGGGTCTCTCCTGAGCTGTAGCATCTGCCACAGCAGGGCCTGAGTGGGTGACTCCCTGACTCTGAGCCCAGTGGTTCCTTGGAGAAATCGAAGTGGCTATGGGGGTCAAGGGCAGTAGTCTCCGTAAGGAGTGTGCCCAGAGCCCAGCACACAGCAGGTGCTTAACCAGTGGTTGCGGTAGAGCTTTGTTAGACGCAATCTCTGGTAATTGACAGGGCTGCTCACTGGCCCACTAACACGCCTGACCATGCCTGACGGTGGGCTCACGGGTTTTTCTCCATTTCCTCCTGTTTGATGGCTGCAGGCAGCCTTGTTCAGGAGCGAGTCACCAGTGACTGGTGTGTGAAAGGCAGAACAAATCCCCTGCTCCTGGAGAACATACTCTCTTTGGCTGGCCTGATTCTAGCCCCGCTCCGGTGCCTTGTCCTTCCTGCATAGCCAGTATCCACGGTAGCTCCAGGGTTCTGCTGCCTGATCGGAGTGCTGTGTCTTCTTCTTTTTCCATCACATTGCTAGAACCCAGCCCTCTTCCCAGTGCTCAGCAGACACTCAGCACACACTTGTGAAAGAACGTGGGACTTCAGCATGACGACAATTTATATTCCACACGGTGTGGCTTGAGCCCCAAACTTGCCACGGCGTCCCCAAGCCCCTCCCCCATTCTCCTTTCCCTCGCATAGACTCAAATTCCTCAGAATAAACAAAATGCTCTCTCAATCCCCGGGGTAGGGCTTATTTGTCATTTTTCTAAGTGGAAAATAATGTGTACTTAATGTGAAAAAAATATGTGACTATTATAGGGGAAAACCCCAGAGACACTAAAATAAGAAAATGGCACACATCCATATTTTCATCACCAGGAGATAATTGCTGTTAGCAGCCAGGTGGGTGGCCTTCGGATCTCTGAAGTTACTGTATGTGCGTGTGTGGATGTGTTTTTATGTACGTTTGTTTTCAACCTGCATTTTAAACTCACCAGCATTTTATGAACATCTTTTCATGCCCATAAATACTCATCTGTTGACAGAGGTCAGTCCTTGGTGCTGCTGGCTGAAGTTGCCCACCTCCCAGCATCATTTATTTGTTTATTTAAATGCCTTTAAATGGAGCATGTGTTTCCTGGTTTGGCGCAATCTCCACCCCTCCATATGACATTACACCCAAGACCACGGTCGATGGCTAAAGGCACTTGAGTTTGCCGCCCTGACCAACCACCTTGTTTTTAGTTTTCCATTGTGTGGACGTACCATCATTTGCTTAGACAGCTTTTGCAGGATCTTGGAGGTGGTTTGTAACTTTGGTTGATGGAGGCAGTGGGTTATAACTCTTATTCTTCTTTTTAATTTTTTTTTCTTTTTGGATCTTCGTAGCTGCTCGTGGGCCATCCCTAGTTGTGGTGAGTAGGGGCTACTCTTGGTTGGGGTCCATGGGCTTCTCCTTGTGGCGGCTCCTCTCGTGGTGCACAGGCTCCAGGAATGCGGCTTCAGTAGCTACAGCAGGCAGGCTCAGTCATGGCGCATGGGCTTAGTTGCCCCGTGGCACGTGGGGTCTTCCCGGACCAGGGATGGAACCTGTGTCTCCTGCATTGGCAGGTGGATTCTTAGCCGCTGGACCACCAGGGAAGCCCGTAACTCTTTTTTTGAGGCAGAAGGCTTTCTGAGTGCTGATAAAAGGAGCATTTGAGGCAAAGATGGCTACCTGGTCACACCAGGATTCAGCATTCTGACATGTATTAGTAGGTCCTTGGTCACTCTCCCCACTTCCCTTCCCCCCCCACCACAGACCACCCACGTTCTGAATTAGAGATCTGAACACACTGGCTTGAGTCCTCTTTGGACGATGGCTCTGTTACTTGAGAAGGCCTGAAACGGAGCGTGGAATTCAGTCAGACCTGGGATGCGTGTGAAATGAGATGCATCTCCTGTGTGTGAGGACCTCCTGGCCTGTGAGCGGACCAGACAAGGAAGCCGCTCTGTGCCAGATGCTAGGTGAGGAGACTTCCTGGAGGAGGTGGCAATGGGCTGGGCTCTGAAGGACACGGCGACGGGGAAGGTGGCAGGAGAAAGAGATGGAGAATGAGACGTGGTGTGACTTGTGTTGGGACTCCCGGTGGCTCTAGGTGGCTGGCGTGAAGGATACAGGTGCAGGGATGGGGATGAAGGGGCCAGAGATGAGACGGAAGCTAGATGGTGAAACTCAAGAGTTTAAACATTTCCTTTATTTTCATGGGAAGCCTTTGGGGCCAAGGGTGGCATTCAGATGTGCAGGTTTGAAAGTGGCCTCTGGCAAGCAGTTTGGAAGGCAGAGGAGAGGCAAGACAAGTGCGGGGCTGAGAGAAAAGCGGTGATGGTACCCTAGACAGGGAGAGAAGAGCTTCAGGAGGCCTGGTGATGGTGCAGGAGAACCAGGGGTCTAGGGGTCTCCCAGGTGCCAGCCTGGGGCCCCTGTGTGAAGAGCCGTACGTGCAGGAGTAGGAGCAGGGCTGGTGGGGGCCGAGGGAGAAGGCGGTGAACTAACAAGGGGCTTGAGCATCTTACAGCAGAGTGAGGAGACCTGGTCTGAAGACAGCTGGACACCTGGGTCCAGACCAGCCCTGTCCAGTAGGACTTTGCGACCATGGATGTGTCCTCCCAGCTGTGCTCTCCAAGAGCGTGGCCATGTTAAGATGTGCTTGAGTGACGGAGAACGGAAATTTTCACTTTGTTTAGTTGTCATTCATGTATCTGGCCCCAGGGGCCAGAGGCCACTGTTCTGGAGAGAGCAGGCCCAGAGCTTGGTGGTCAGGGACGCCTGCTGGGGACAAGGATTGAGGAGCCGTCTGCTGAAGCCATCGTACAGGAAAAGACGGGCAGAAAGTGTTTGGAGTGAGAGGGGCTGAGAGCTGAGGACACAGTCTGGAAAACACCTGTCTCTAAAGGGGAGGTTGCGCAGGGTATACACGGGGAGACAGGGTGGGCCGGAGTGGGGGCGGAGAGGCGGGTGGTCATCACCGGCAGGCGCTCCCCAGCGCACGCCAGAGCTGTCTGGGCTGGATCAGGAGGCGGCGGGACTGTTGGATGCTGAGCTAAATTACACTCTTGACTTAGAAGCCACTAGATGTGGGACAACATTCTACCTTTTGCCAAGCTCCCCCCGCCCCGCCCCACCCCTGGAGATGGCTGTAAAACGCTGCAGTGATTTTCAGGTCCCAGAAAATTGAAAACGGTTGTGCTGCTTGTAAAAGGGATGGTGCGGTGGCTGTGGAATTCCCAGCTACTTCCCACCCTCCGTCTTGGGGGCGGTCAGCCCTCCGAGGGTGTCGCCGCTGCGGGGCAGTGGGCCGGGGGCCAGGCCACCTGCAGCGTGGGCTCCGGCAAGGCACGAGCTGTCAGTGGCTCTTCTCTCGCACGGTTCTCCAAGCGGGGAAAAGCCTGCCGCCCGAGGCCTCACAGCTGGGAGGTGATCTAAGGACAGGGCTCTAGTCAAGGAAATCTTTGTTTGCACTGGGGAGGCTGGGCTGGCCAGGTGCCCCCAAAGGCCCGCCGCCTGCTTCCCACGTGGTCCCCTTGTTTGCAGGGCCTGGGCAGAGATTTAGGCAGTGTCTGCTCTCAGCTCCAGGTGAGCCCTTTCTGGTCTAGGTACAGCGAGTTGCCCCAGGAGAGGATGGAGATGTTTCAGGATGGGGAGGAGGCCTGGCCCCTCTTTCCTTGGCTGTTTGGTCCCAAGTCAGTGCAAAGGAAGCCCTTGCTTGTTCATCAGCAAGTAGCCCTGGAAGACTCCATTGACATTTCTGGCCTGGGGCTTTGGAGGGAGCCAAATAAACCCCCAAACCCTCTTCCTCTAAGCCAGAGAACAGCTTCTTGGAAAAAGGAAAAGAGGGGGATTCGGTGAGGGAGCTGGGTGCCAGAATGCCTCCATCTTTTGGGAAAGGCTCAGCTCACCCCCACTTGACCGGCGCACATGTGCGTGTGTGCTCAGTTGATTCAGTTGCGTCTGGCTCTTTTTTGCCTCATGGACCATAGCCCGCCAGGCTCTTCTGTCCATGGGATTCTCCAGGCAAGGATACTGAGTGGGTCAAAGCCAGTACTCTGGGACAACCCAGAGGGATGGGGTGGGGAAGGAGGTGGGTGGGGGGTTCAGGAACGGGGGACATGTGTACACATGTGGCTGATTCATGTCAGCATATGGCAAAAACCACCACAATATTGTAAAGTAATTAGCCTCCGATTAAATAAATAAATAAATTTTTTAAAAAAGGAAAACACACACACACACACACACAAAGAATACTGAATGGGTTGCCAATGCCCTCCTCCAGGTTATCTTCCCAACCCAGGGATCGAACCTGCGTCTCCTGCAGTTCTTGCTTTGCAGGCAAATTCTTTACCTGACTGGAGTTCCTTTGATAAAGGATGCCCATCCCCCACTGCTGCTTCCTCTAGCGTGTTGGGAGGAAGCCAGAGAGGGCCCAGGACCAGCTGGGGCTGCCCCACTAAAGAAGGGAAAATTAAGCATGAATTGGGTTCCTGGGATTGGTGAGCAAACGTCATTTATCAAGGGGAAGTCACTCTGCCTCCCCCCTGCCCATCACTGGAGGAGCCTGGTAAATGGAAATTGAGTATGATGAATGGCTTCTGGGGAAGGAAAGCAGACGCCACGTGTTAGACAATCCTGATGGTCATCAGGGCCAGAGGGGACACCCCACCATGGGGCTTTCTCCTTTCTGGGCACCTCAGGATCTGAGTCCAGGGGACTTCTTGCAGCATCTGGAGAGCTCTGAGCATCTCAAGTGGAGAATTTCCGCCAGATGTCGAAGCAGAGAGGGGCAGCCCCAGGGCTTCCTTTCTGGTGGAGAGGAGACGGGGGTGGGGGGCATGGCGGGGGGGCCAGGAGCAGATGTGCCGGTTGCTGGGCTGAGGGATGGTTGATGCTGCGTTGAGACAGGCTCTGATTGGATGCTGAGCCAAGTCATCTTCTTACCTAGAAGATATTAGCTGTGGGAAGGCATCCTATCTTAGGCCCAGCTTTCTCGGGAGATGTGTGTGAAATTTGGGGGTTGATATCCAGGCCCTAGAAAAGCCAGACGAAGATATTTGTCTTGGGTGTGAATTGAGGTCTGGGACCCGGCCAGAGCTCCTGGAAAACGTCAGCTGGTACAGAGGAGCAGAGACCTTCAGGAGATACTAAAGAGGGTTGGTGACTGATTCGGTGTGGTGGACATATGAGAGGAAGGCATCTAAATGACTCCCAGATTTCTGGCCTGCCGCTTGCTCATTCTTCCTATTCCCCCACGCCCCCCACCAACTTCATGTTAATAGGACTGAGCTGCCCAATGGAGCTTTCCGCGGTGATTGAAATGTTCTGTTCTGTGCCTTCCAGTATGGTAGCTCCCAGCTCCCCGTAGCCACCGAGACCCTGGAACGCAGCTAGCGTGACTGGGAACAGAATTTAGAATGATCTTTCATTTATTTTATCTTTTTGGCCATGCCATGCGGCATGCGGGGTCTTAGTTCCCCAAGCAGATATCAAATCCCTGCCTCCTGCTATGCAAGTGTGGAGTCTTCACCACTGGACTGCCAGGGAAGTCCTTAGAATGTTCTTTAATTTTAATTGGTTTAAAATGAAATAGCCATAGGTGGTTAGTGGACACTGCTGTGCACAGCATGGCCCTAGAATGTCTCTCTCTCTCTTTTTTTTGTAGATGAGTATCTTTTTTAATTTTTAGTTTGTTTCGTTTTGGTTGTGCTGGGTCTTCATTGCTGAGCAGGCTTTTCTCTAGCTGGGGAGAATGGCAGCTAGTCTCTAGTTGTGGTGTGTGGGCTTCTCATTGCCCGGCCCCTGTTGGTGGAGCGCCGGCTCTAGGGCCCGTGGGCTTCAGTAGCTGCGGCTCATGGCTCAGTAGCTGTGGCTCCCAGGCTCTAGAGCACATGGCTCAATAGTTGTGGTGCACGGGGTTCGTTGCCCTGCAGCTCGTGGGGTCTTCCTGGATCAGGGATTGAACCTGTGTCTCCTACATTGGCAGGTGGATTCTTTACCACTGAGCCACCCAGGAAGCCTCCAGAATGTCTCGTTTTGAGTCAACATCTGCTGTTCTGCCTTGAGCTGCGATTGGGCACGTATCTGTCTTCTTCACTGGCTGGTAATCGCCTTGAGGTTATGGGGTGTTTATAATGTGTAGTGGTATCCCTGCCCCCCAAGCTCTTGCCTGATGCTGTGCACATCACGGGCATCCAGGAAACCGTGGCTGTGTTCAGTTTTCTGCTGAGAGGCAATTCCTGAGCTACACGGGCCATTTGGACTTGTCTTCTAAATTCCTTCTAATCCAGGGAGATCCTGGGCTTCTCTCGCCTCTCAGAGCAGCTGGTTACCTGATGATGATCAGGGAAGAGGGAAAACCATGGTTATAAAATGCTTTTGTCAAAGGGCACTGAGCTGGGTGTGACCACAAGGAACGAGGCAAACATGTGGAGCCTGAGGGCTGGGAGTTCACTATCAGAACATTGGCTGACACCCTGGAAGTGGGCGGGCCCCCCAAAGTGATGGGACTGATTTTTATAACAGATACAAAAGAAACTTAAACTTGTGTATGAAAATTCTCTCCTTGAAGGATTCCCCACACATCCATTCCGGGGCTCTGGAAGATAAAAATAATGAACCAGGAAGTGTTCTCACACTGCCTGTCTTCCTCCAGACCCTGCCATGGACCCAATTCCTCCTCCCCCCTCCCCCCCCAACCACCTACTGTTGGAAGAGGGGAGGAGGTTAAGCTGCAGGGGGATTGGGGAAGGTTGAGGGAGAGGAGAAGAGGAGCCGAGGGTCCTGAAGGGAGTGAGTGGTAGAAAAAGATGTTCACGGAATCGCCATGGAATCTGGCAACTGAGTGTCTTGCAGGGTTTGGGATGGGCAAGTCCAGAACTTGAGTCATGTTGGAAACGGCCTCAGACGCCTTGACCGCAAGGCAGCCAGGAGACTGGACCGTGCAGGACCAGATTCAGAAGGCTTACACACCCTTGGCCGAGGTGTCCAGGGGGCTGCTTCCTGGACCTGCATAGCAGGTCCTTCCTGTGCCTTGCTAAGCACAGCATGTTCTCCTGAGTCACCTTTCTGGGGTCCACACCCCCTCCATTGCAGGGGACTTTGTTTCACTGGAAATCACTAAAGTGGGTCAGAGCCAAGTTTCTTTGGAAGTTGGGCAACACTGTTTTTTGCCCCAGAGTGAGTAAAATGATCGTAGTCATGATGCTGACTTTGCTGTGGGACTTGGGGCATTTGTTCTGAAGATAGTTGTGAAGAGAGAAAGGTTTCAATCTGGGTTTGCCTTGGCTCCAAAGAGGAGGTCCTTGAGGAGAACCTCCAACCTCTGCTGCCCTCTGTCAGCCCGCCTGGCGCCTCCGACCCTGCCGGGCCATCGCGGCTCCACCCCCGCCGATATCACCACCCCTTCCCCAGCTGCATCCTGGTCTCCATCTCTTCTGACCCAGGTACAGAAAAATTCCCTTTTTAGACTTCGAAAGAGACATACCAACGTGCAGAAGGGTGCTTCCATCGGGGGTGGAGGACTGATTCTCAGCTGGGAGGATTCCTGCCTTCCGGGGGACACGTGGCAAAGTCTGGAGAGGCTTTTCGGCTGTCACAACTGGGGGTGGGGCTGTGCTGATGGCAGCGAGTAGGTGGAGTCTAGGGATGCTGCTAAGCATCCTGCAGTGCACACGACAGCCCCTCCCCATTTCCACCCCACGACAAAGGCTGATCCAGCCCCAAATGTCCGTGGTGCCGAGGCTGAGGGACCCTGGGGGCAAAGGAATCCGAGATAACGCTTTCCTTCCTCTTGCTGTTATTTTCAAACTTTCCCCAAATGAATTATATATTACTTTGAATTCAGGGGGGGAAAAGATGTTTAAAGAAAGGAAAACCTCTTTTCCTTTCAAGTGATGCAAGTTTGGCATTGAAGAGGAAAACAAGAGTAATTATCAAGGCGCCAAGGAAAAACAGAGGAAATACAGAAATAGGGCAATAAACAAATTTGGAGAATTCAATCTGACAAATATTTGTCAAGTAGAGGGTGCTGCAGGATGCTTGGCGGGTCCAAGATGAACAAGACCATGTCCCAGGCCCAGAGGAGGTCACGGGTCTGCAGTGCAGAAACTTCCCGGCCAAGAAAAACTCTTTGCAGAATGAGACAATATGAGAAACACAAACAACAAAGATCAGGGGGAGTTGGTTGCAGCTGAGGGTCTGGGGGGCTTTCCTAGTGGCACTAGTGGTAAAGAACCCACCTGCCAATGCAGGAGACATAAGAGACGTGGGTTCGATTCCTGGGTCGGGAAAATACCCTGGAGGAGGGCATGGCAACCCACTTCAATATTCTTGCTTGGAGAATCCCCATGGACAGAGGAGCCTGGGGGGCTACAGTCCATGGGGTCGCACGGTCAGACACAACTGAAGTGACTTAGCACACAGTCGTGCACCAGGGTCTGGGAGACCTGCGGGAGAAATATGAAGCACCTGGTTGGGTCTTGGGTAGGATTTTGATGTGATCAGAAGGCAGCCTTTTGAATTCAAATCCAGCCCCCACAGCTTAAAAATTGGGCAGCCTTAGGCTAATCGACTTTTCGATGTCATTTTTTCCTCACTGCTGCTTAGTCACTCAGTTTTGTCCGAGTCTTGGTGACCCCATGGACTGTAGCCCGCCAGGCTCCTCTGCCCATGGGGATTCTCCAGGCTAGAATACTGGAGTGGGTTGCCATGCCCTTCTCCGGGGGATCTTCCCAACTCAGGGATCGAACCCAGGTCTCCCGCATGGCAGGCGAATTCTTTACCATTTGAGCCACCAGGGAAGCCCTTCTTCAGTGGTAAATTTGGTAAAATAATGAATGAATGTTGTCTCCTTAAAGGATTCACTGCCGGTCCATCTGAGGCCTTTGATGGGGTAAAACCTATTAATGAGGAAGTAATCTCAGAAGGAACCCTAACCTATAGGGTTGTATGGATGAAGGGAAATGTTGTAGCAATCCCTAGCACCGGGCCTGGGGCAGTTGTCGGTGGAGCACGGGCTCTAAGGTGTGTGGGCTTCAGTAGTTGCAGCGTATGGGCTCAGTGTTGTGGTGCATGGGCTTCATTGCCCTGCTGCAAGCGGAATCTTCCCGGACCAGGGATTGAACCTGTGTCCCCTGCATTGGCAGGTGGATTCTTCACCACTGGGGTGCCAGGAAAGTCCAGGAGAGATCCTTTTAATATGTGTTTTACGAATTACACTTGTAAGTACAAACTTTCTTTGTGAAGTGGAGGTGAGGTAGTGAACATTTTGAGTGGTGGGGCCTGGTTCCAACCAGTCTGTAGGTCATTGGGAAAGTCTCTGGGCTCTGACTCTTGGCAGGTAGAGAACGTGGAGGTGGTGGGCCCAGCTCATCTGCTGCAGCGGATGGGGGGTATGCAGAGAATTAAAGAGGTGGTAGAAGTGTAGGTTGGGGGCTTGGGGTGGGGTTCCTGTGGAGGCCAGCCTTCCTGGCTCAACCTCATCGTATCTCTGAGGACCCATTGGGAGAGCCTCAGCTCCCTTGGCTCTGGGTCCTGGTCCTCTGCCTCCCCCAGGTTTTCCTGACTTGGCATGGGGCTCCAGCAGGGAGGGTGGCCAGAGCATTCTGTCTTCAGCGCTAAAGCAGCGAGCCCGCTAACGCACAGAAGAAAGAACAAAGCTGAGAGTCGGCACAACGAGAGGGTCGTGCCCTCCCAGGCTCCGAGGTCTCTGAACCAGGGGAGGTGAAGTACGTCCACGGAGGCCCAAGACGTGCGAAAGGAGCATTCACCTGGATAGACGATTACCAAGAAAAACAGAACTCGCTCTCAGTATTTTTGTTCCCCTTAGACATGAAAAGAGGAATTAAGAATCCGAAAATCAGACAGGCCCTTCTGAGGCCGTTTCCTAGCCCCAGCCTGGCTGAGAAGGGGGGTGGGCGTTCTTACTCTCCCAGCTTCAGCCCTTTCGCCGCGAAGTCCAGAGGGTCCACTTTAGTGTCCTTGTCAGCCCTTTCCATGTTAAATTGTATGTTTTGGTGAACAGAATGGGTTGGGATTGACCGCTGTCTTCCCTTCCATGATGGGAGGTTTTCCAGCCGCCAGAAATAGCCGAGGCGCACGTGACTCCTGACTCCACACGCGTGTAAACCCCACACGGCTGGCCCGGGGTGGCCAGGGTGATAACTCGGACTGAGAAACAGGTGGGATGTTGTGTCTGTTTTAAGCCCAAGCAGTGCCCCCTAGTGGGATCACTGGGAACCTCCCCAGTGGTCAGCTCTTTCTAGAAGGACTATCTCAATCCTGGACGAAGAGGGTCCTGTCCAGAGCTTTTTGGAGAGACATGGAGCTGGCTTCGATGACAATAAGTGCCCTCTGGGGCTGGGCAGACTCACCCCCCAGCCCCACATCAGATGCTCAAGGACACTCACTGATGGGCCACCTGGTGGCCAGAGAGCAACTTGACACCTTCCTGCACACCGGCCCCCACGGTGCCGGCTGGGCCAGAGTCGCTGCACAGTGGGCCCCCAAATTCATTCGGGATTTTGCTCATTGTCCTAACATGGCCAAGACACAATCATCTGCAGAGCTCAGGGCTGAGGGGTCTCCTTCCTGGGAGGCATGGGGGCGCTGGGCAGAGCCATGGTCAACAGCCACAGGCAGCCGGGTGCTCCAGGGTGGAATGTGCGAGGCTGTGCGTGTTAAGTCTGTGAGTGTGCTGAGAGTGTGCCGGTTGGGGGTGGGCATGCTGTGTGCCTGAGTGTGCACACATGTGAGTGCACGGGAGTATCCACGAGTGTGTCGAGTGTGCAAGTGTGAACACAAGAGTGTGGACTTGAGTGTGTTTCAAGCGTGCTGAGTGTCTTGGGTGTGTGTGGAGTGTATTTGTGTATGGGTGCGTGCTGCCTGTGTGAGAGAGGGTGTGAGCATGTGTGTATGTGCGCGAACGTGCACTGGGGTCTGTGTGTGCGTGTGGGAGTGTGTAGCGAGGTATGTGAGTGTGTTGCGTGTGTGCGTGTGTGACCGCCCTCCCGGGAGGAGCGGCAGTGAAGCGCCTCCCGGCGTCGTGGCTGGGGCGAGCCCCGTGGGCTTGTCCTCCCCGTGGCTCTTCCAAGCCACACCCTCCGTGTGTCTCCCCAGCAGGGCTCGGCGGGAAGATGGGCTCCCGCGGGCTGGGACTCACGCTGGCGGGCTGCCTGCTGCTGGCCTTCGCCTGCCGTCTGGTGCTGGGCCGAGTGCCCCGTGGGCAGCAGGAGCGGCAGGAGCCGGAGGGGACCAGGGAGCCGCCGATGGACCACGCTGAGAGGTGAGGCCGCGGGGCGTGGGCGCCAGGGCTCCGGCTCAGTGGTGGGGATGAGGGCCGAGTCCGGGCCTCCCCCGAGTGCTGGTTGACGCCAGAGGAGAAGGGGCAGAGGCTGAAGCTGAGGAGCTAGGGGATGGAGGCAGCATTTCTCCTGTCAGTGACCCGGGCGTCTTATCTGCACCTGCGGATAGTAACCCAGCCTCGTTCCAACCCCAGAGGAATGTGGGTCTGCCTGAGGTTCTGCAGTCACATCCTTAAAAAAAGAACATGCCAAGCCCCCACCCCAGGCTTTGGTTTCTCTGCCTTCTTGCCTGTCCTTTGAGCGTATCTATTAGAGTTCTAAGCACCACCTGGAAGTAGAAGGTAGGGAGGGTGGTCTCCACCACCCTGCTGTCTGATCACATTGCCAGGTGGGGACAATGCGTAAAGACTGACACGGGAAGTGGTGGCTTTCCTAGAAAAGTTATGAATTTCTTCCTCATGGCCTTGTCTTCATACACCTGATAGCTCAGTTGGTAAAGAATCCGCCTGCAAAGCGGGAGACCTGGGTTCGATCCCTGGGTTGGGAAGATCCCCTGGACACGGAAAAGGCCACCCACTCCAGTATTCTGGCCTGGAGAATTCTGTGGACTGTATAGTCCATGGGGTCGCAAAGAGTTGGACACGACTGAGTGACTTTCACTTCACTTCACTTCATATACATGTGCCTTCAGTGATACACACACTCTAGGATCTTTGGGATATTTTGTAGTGATACATAAAACACCTAGGATTACTGATGGAAATGTCATTCATCAAACAAGAGGTCCTAGACACCCAGTGCTGGCTTTGAGTTTCATCAGCACTTTTCGCTAGTCAGCTTTGGGCTGACTTGGAATATATTGGACTTGCATAGATTTGGGGCAAAGGAACATCATTCTTGGGCCTTTCTGCTGGCTCAGACTATAAAGACTGCCTGCAATGCAGGAGACCCAGGCTCCATCCATGGGTTGGGAAGATCCCCTAGAGAAGGGAATGGCCCCCCACTCCAGTATTCTTGCTGTAGAATCCCACGGACAGAGGCAGACTGCAGTCCATGGGGTTGCAGAGTTGGACGTGATTGAGTGACTCACCCTTTCACACACACAACAGCATTCTTGACCTTTGTCTTTCCTTCTCCTCCCCTTCCTCTTCCTCCTTCTTTTCATTCAGCAAACATTAATCAAGTGCTGCTACTGATCTGGCCATCCGCTAGGCACTGGGGACACACATGAGTGACACAGTCTCTGGGCTCCAGGAGCTCCAAGGCTGTGGGGGCACAGACACGGATGACCCACTTCAGTGAGGTTGGCTCTGCAGTACAAGTGTGGACAAGTACAAGATGGATGTGGTGGGTGGGGGTGGGTGGGTCGGGGAAAGTTAGGTGGAGAAGTGACTGGGTCTTGAAGGTCACTGGGGGAGCATCCCAGGCACAGAAGAAGGGGAAGCTGCCTGACAGCCAGGACAACACGTGTGAAGGGGAACCTTTCCAGTGTCTGATTGTGTAAGGCTGGTGGGTCCTTTGAGTAGTGGGAGCCAGTGTTGGAGGGCGGAGGATGGGAGGATGGGATGAGCCTGGTGGGGAAGGATCTCTCTGCAGCCTCATCTATAGGGGAGTTGTGGAGAGATTTGCATTTCATGGTGTCCTAGAAAGAATTCCGGAGGGTGGCAGAGCAGGGGATGAACTGGCAAGGGAGAGATGAATTCCAGGGGAGCATTCAAAATGCCAGTGGTCCCAGAAGTGGGGAGAGCCAAGGGCCCAGCTCCTGGAGGTACTTTGATGGTGGACTGGGCTGACCCCTCAGGACAGCATGATTCTCAGAATGGAGCGGCAAGGGCAGAGAAGCATCTGTAATGAGTCTCAGGGTCCCATTCTGGATGAGTGGTCATGCTGCTGCCACTGCTGGGGACAGGGTTTGGAAAGAGAAGACTCCAGGGCTGAGCAGCAGTGAAGGGCCATCAATTTGGGACACTTCTCATGTATGCGACTCATGGAAATTTTGTGGAGACTTCTGCTGGGAGGTGGGGGCAGTGTTTCCTCTGAGAGTCTAGGACTTGTTGTTTAGTTGCTAAGCTGTGTCCGACTCTTTTGCGTCCCCACAGGGACTGAAGCCCGCCAGGCTCCTCTGTCCATGGGATTTCCCAGGCAAGAATACCGTTTTTCGGTATTGAATACCATAGGAGTGGGTTGCTATTTCGTACTCCAGGGCTGTTCCTCACTCAGAGATCGAACCTGAGTCTCCTGCATTGGCGGGTGGATTATTTACCACTGAGCCACGAGGGAACCCCCTAGAGCTTGTAGGTGGCTGAATTTAGGGCATGGAGATCCTTTTCCTGGATTGTCTGTGGTGTGAAAATAGGAGCAGAGTAAAACAAGGGGCTGACCACTTGATGAGAGGACTGTGCCACCTGCAAGACGGCGCTGTCAAAAGCAAACAGCCGCAGAGAGCACGGTGCACTGTAGCGTGACGCCGGGAGGTGGCGGCATGGAGCAGTTGCTCCCCGCCTCCCCAGCTCTCCCCGGGATCCTCAGAAGCCCGTTTCCAAGTCAGGTTGTGAACAGGACAGTAGAGTCTCCAGCTGCTGCAGCTCCCGGGAATCCCACATGTCTGGCTGAGCCCTCTCATTTGCAAACGAGTCAGCTTAACATAGTGTCTTCTAGAATCCTGGAGGTCAGAGTTCCAAATTAAGTGAAGTGAAATGAAGTGAAAGTCGCTCAGTTGTGTCCGACTCTTTGCGACCCAGGCCAGAATTCTCCAGGCCAGAAAACTGGAGTGGGTGGCCTTTCCCTTCTCCAGGGGATCTTCCCAACTCAGGGATCGAACCCAGGTCTCCCGCATTGCAGGTGGATTCTGTACAGTCTGAGCTACCAGGGAAGCCCTAGATACATGAAGGCGACGTTCATTCAAGGGCTGTCATCCAGAGACCCCTCCTAGAAGTGCCGGATTTCCCCCTTTCAGCCTCCATCTTGCCAGGCCCTCAACTTATTGCTGTTTTTGTCATCATTATTTCCAAGATGGTCACTGCAGTTAACGGAGGGCAGGGGCTCTTTCTGACACTTCACTGAGGATCTCAGAGTTCACCAAGAGCCAGGGCAGCACATCTGGGAGAGAGATGTGGCTTCCCAGGTGGCGCTAGTGGTAAAGAATCCACCTGCCAATGCAGGAGACAGAAGAGACACAGGTTCAATCCCTGCATCTGGAAGATGCCCTGGAGAAGGAAATGGCAACCCATTCTAGTATTCTTGCCTGGGGAGTTTCAGGGACAGAGGATCCTGGCAGGCTACAGTCCATGGGGCTGTAAAGAGTCAGACACGACTGATCCCAGAGCACAGCAAGAGAGCAGCACATCTGAGTGAGAGCAGGCGAGTCAGCCCAGACCCTCTAGCAAAAGACGAGCGAAGAGTTCCTTGCTCTGAGAGCTTCGGTGATGTCTTTACTCCCTTAGGGATGAAGAAGAGCATGAAAAATACGGTCCCAGGCAGGACGAGGAAGCCCCTGCTTCTCGGTGCCTCCGCTGCTGTGACCCTGGTACTCCCGTGTACCAGGCCATCCCGGTGCCGCAGATCAACATCACCATCCTGAAAGGTCAGGCACAGAGACCCGCCAAGGGCACCTTCCCCTGGGGAGCGGAGGGGGCACTGCCCTGTCCTGATCGGAGGTCGGGGCAGAAGATGGAGTTAGGGAGGAGGAGGGGGCAGGGGCAGATGGCTCCCTTGGGGCACCGAGCTGAGGCATGCTGTCATCTAGGGGGGAGGAGGGAATTCCGTTTCTGAGGCTCTGGCCCCCTTCCAAGAGGAGAGGTAGGGGACAGGACCACAGGAGAAGGAGCCTCAGGGCAGCTCTGGGTCTCACCCCACCTGCATTTGCACCGCGAGCCTCAGGGGCACGGTCCTGCGAGCAGAACATCACACACAGCCCAGCACAACTGAATCAGGAAGCAAAGCGGCCCGGGTCCTACATCCCCGGGGCCCTGTGTCTGCAATTCATCTGCTCGGAGGGAGCCGTGGGCCTGGCTGCTGCTCCCATTGCTTTTGCATAAATGCTTTACTTTGCCGGGATTTTCCAGAAGGAAGAAAAAAATTTTTTTTGATTGCTTCTGGATGAAAACAGAATAATCCTTGAGACTGCTTGACACCGTGTGTTTTCCCGTCCTGTTTAGGTGAGAAGGGTGACCGGGGAGACCGGGGCCTGCAAGGCAAATACGGCAAAACAGGGTCCGTGGGTGCCAGGGGCCACACGGGACCCAAAGGGCAGAAAGGGTCCATGGGGGCCCCCGGGGACCGCTGCAAGAATCACTACGCCGCCTTCTCCGTGGGCCGGAAGAAGCCCCTGCATAGCAACGACTACTACCAGACGGTGATCTTCGACACGGAGTTCGTGAACCTCTACAACCACTTCAACATGTTCACGGGGAAATTCTACTGCTACGTGCCCGGCATCTACTTCTTCAGCCTCAACGTGCACACCTGGAACCAGAAGGAGACGTACCTGCACATCATGAAGAACGCGGAGGAGGTGGTGATCCTGTACGCCCAGGTGAGCGACCGCAGCATCATGCAGAGTCAGAGCCTGATGCTGGAGCTGCGGGACCAGGACGAGGTGTGGGTGCGCCTCTTCAAGGGCGAGCGGGAGAACGCCATCTTCAGCGACGAGTTTGACACCTACATCACCTTCAGCGGCTACCTGGTCAAGCCGGCCAACGAGCCCTAGCCACCTGCCAGCCTCCGTCGCCACAGGCTCACCTCCCCTTCTCCCCGTGCCCCGCCCTGCTCCGCTGGACCTTCCCCACCCCCCACCCCCCCCATCTGGAACCTCCCTCACCCACTCCTGGTCAGCCCCTCCTGCATCTGGGTTTCCCAGGCTCCTCACGCCTCCCTGCTTTGGCATTCGACATGACGCCCCTCACAGGAGCGGGAAGCAACGTCGGCTGGGTGGTCCCAAGCCTTGCTGTGTCTGCACGTGCAATCACCAGGTGGGTGTGCCTGCGGGAGTCCCCCTCTGTGTACATGGCCTTGAGTGAGACCCTCCCCAGACGTACCCCACGACAATGATGCACCAGGGTGTCCCAGAGCAAGCCACCCTTGCTCCCGTTGCTGGGAGGAACTAAGCCAGTTCTAAAGGTTGTGAAAGGAGCAAAGTAAGCCATGAAAAGAGAGGGAGGCAGTTGTTATTTTTGTCTTTCGGCCAGCCCCGCTGGCTTCCAGGAGGGCCATCTCCGCTTGAGGCGGCGGAAGGCTCCTGGTAAGACAAGATCTAAAGTGGATGCCGAGGGTATCCACTAAAGAGGAAACCACTGGCTTAGTATTTTAGGCCACACACGAACCTTCTTGGAGGACGGCTGGACTGATGTCCACGTCCCGTGGACATTCCTGTGGCCTTGCCCAGGGGCTCAGCTGGTCTTTCTGAGCCACAATGGTGAGGGGGTTCGAACTGGGCAGCAAGTGTCAGCTCCTCAGAGGGACAGCCACATCCTCAGCTTCAGCCCCTGGTTGGGGGGACAGTTTGCTCACTGGAACCCGTGGGGTCCTGGTAGCAGGTGGTTCTCTGAGGAGCAAAGCTCAGTACAGCCCAGACAAGCCATGCATCCTTGTGTGGCTCTGTTCACCGCCCCCCCCCACACCCCACCCTGGCATCCTGGGCAGGGCTTCCATGCCTGTCACTCTGGCATGGGCTTTCTGTCCCTCTTCTCCAACGGGTCAGCTAAGGAAGGCTCAAGGGCCTTTGATTTTGTAGCAGCTGTCATGATTGCACAATACTTTCAATAAAACCTGCTCATACACCATCTCAGAGTCCTGCGCCCCAGAGGGTTCAGCATTCAACCCACCAGGACCCTCCCCTGGGACCTCTTTGACCATCAGCCTAAGACCATGCAGGAGGGGGCTTTCCTGGGCCCCAGAGCAGGGGAGAGCTGGAAGGGACTGGAAGGTTCCCCCCTGCCTGTCTCCGGAGCCCCTGCACAGCTTAGCTTCTGAAAGAGGGCATATCCCCACCACCGGTGTCAGAGCCTCTGCTCTGAGGGGGGTGTTGGGGCGCTGCCTGGATTGGTGCTCTAGTTCTTGGCTGACTTTGGCCAGGCAGCCCTCCCCCACTTCCCTACATCAACCCCCAGGGCCGGGGTCTCCCTGCCTGCTTGGGCCCTAGGCCCGACAGGAGGCTTCCTGCTCACGAGCTGGTAATGCCCGATCTTGACGGATCCCTCTGCCCTCGCCGGGCCTGGCTGTGGGGTCTGGGGCCCCCACATCCCTCCCTCTGCTGGTCAGACTTTGAAAACTCTGTTTCTGTTCCTGCTGGTGAGCAGGGTGCCCACCTGCTGCTTTGTGCTGCCTTGGTGCTCTTCCAGAAAACATTAAACTCGGAATTGTGTGTTTCAGCATCACAGCCTCGTAGTTTTTGGTCCTTGAGCCAAACCCTCCTCCTTTCTTTCTTTCTTTCTTTTTAAAACAAAAAATTAGTTATTTGGCTGCATCAGGTCTTAGCTGGACACATGGGATCCTGTGTTGCAGCGTAGACTCTTTAGTTGTAGCACTGGGCCTAGTTGCTCTGCAACATGTGGGGTCCCAGTTCCCTGACCAGGGATGGAACCGACATCCCCTGAATTACAAGGCAGATTCTTAACCATTGGACCACAAAGGAAGTCCCAAGTCCTCCTCTTTTCTATCCTCTTTCTTTCCCTGCTGGAACCCTGCCTACTGTCCATTGGCGGCCTGGGAGCCTTTAGCTTGGAACGTGGGAACATGAGTACCCAGCAGCCATAGGCTGGGCCATGAACTGCCTCATTTCTCACAGGAACGCATTTCACAGCTGGACGAGGCCCCACTGGACACCCGGTAGGGGAGCAGCTTTCCTTGCTTTTTTCGGCTTCCAGTGGCCCCAGCTGTTCCATGGTTTGTGGCCACCTTGCTCCAGTTCCTGCCTACCTCTGTCTTCACATGGCCTTCTTTCCTGGATCTCTTCAATCTCCCCCTCCCTTCTCTCCCAGTTGTTGGAATTAGGGCCCAGCCTAAATCCAGGACCATCTCCTTCTTCTTGAGATCCTTGCCTTGATTACATCTGCAAAGATCCTATTTCCAGCGTCTCCTGCGTTGCAGGTAGATTCTTTTCCAGCTGAGCTACCTGAGAAGCCGATCCTTTTTCCAAATAAGGTCACGTTCACAGGTATTGGGGGTCAGGACCTGAATCCATCTTTTGGAAGGACGAAATTCAACCTACTACAGCTGCTTGCAGGCTTGAATACACCCACTGACAGCACCTTTTATGCCTGAGCGGTGAAGAGCAGATGTTTCTTCTTCTCTCCCTACTGCTTGCCAACTGGGTTAATGGCCAGCGCCCTTATCAGACTGCCAGCAGGCAGTGCCGAAGCTGCCTTGGTCCCTCTGGTGCCAGTAGGCTGGCAAACAGCTGCTGTCCTTCCTCTGCCTGGTTCTGGAGCTGGCCTGTGTGGCCGTACTCAGCCTTGGGCTGGGGCCAGACCAGAGCAGGCGGACACTGCAATCTTGCTCCCTGCAGGACAAAGAGTGGGCCCCACCTCCACACAGCTGAGGCCACCGGACAGAGGATGCAGCTGGGAGCAGGGGCTGAGCGCATTTCCCAAAGGTGCAAGTGGAAAGAACAAGTCAGCTTGAGGCAGGTGCCCACTGCCCGCCCTCTCTCCAGGGAGAGTCGCGTGGAGCATGTAATGCCTGTTCCACGGCCGGCCACGCCGATATGGGAGAGGAGGCAGGCTTTGCTCTGGAGCCCACCCGATCCCCTTTCACTGTCCCTCACTCTTTAAGCTCTTCCACACCCTATCTTCCAGTCCATTCCTGCTGGCATTCCCACTCTGCTTGTTCTCTCTCCAGATATATCTCCTGCTCCTGCTCTGTGCTAACCCAGGTGCCAAGTGCTGGGGCGTGGTGACAAACAAGACACAGTGCTTGCTTCTAGAGGACTCTTCTAGGACTTTAACTGCAGTGTGACATGGATGCCACCTTCTCAGAAGAGCAGCATGCGTGGCACCTAGTTACCGACCTCGCCTGACTCCCATCCCATGCAGTCTACCTTGCAGGGGCTCCTTTTCCCACGTCTTGACTCTGGCTACTGAGAAACTGGCTAACCTTCCCTGGAAAAGATCTGATAAACTCAGTTGCAATGCAAATATTAGTGTTTTCCCAAAAGGACTTAGAAATAGCTGATGACTCAGCCAAAGGAAAGAACTGCTTGTGTTAGGGCTTTCAGGAGTCTTTGTAGCCAGGGATGGGGGAAGTGAGGAGGGCACACCCAATCCTGTGGGGATTTAGAGAGAGAGTGTGTGTGTGTGTGTGTGTGTGTGCATGTGCACACTCAAGGATAATTTTCAGTGGAGTTCGCTATGGGAAGACAATAGTATGATGGAAAGTTAGTTTTATTGGGCCATAGTAATAAGACTGGGATACTATGATTTTTTCTTGCCCAAATCATGAAAAAAGCAGCAGGTTACAGAAAATAGTAAAACAAGATACCTCCATATGCAAAACAGTAGAGTTGTCTCTCAACCTCATACAATATACAAAGATTAACTCAAAATGGATCAGTGACCTAAATATAAGAACTAAAAGTATAAGATTCTTAGGGGAAAAAAACAAACCTACGTGTTAATCATCATGACCTGTATTAGGCAATAATTTCCTACCTATGACACCAAAAACACAAGTAACACAAAGAAAAATAGATAAACTGGATATCATCGAAATTTAAAATTCTATGAATTAGGGACTTCCCTGATGGTCCAATGGTTAAGACTCTGTGCTTCCACTTCAGGGGGTGTGGGTTCAACCCCTGGTTAGTGAACTAGGATCTTACATGCCGGCACAGTGCTGCCAAATAAAATAATGCAAAATGAAACAAAATAAAATTTTGTGCATAAAAGGACACTGTTAAAAAAGTGAAAAAACAACACAAAATGGAAGAAAATATTTGGAAACCGTGTATCTCATAAGGAACTTATATCTAGAATATATAAAGGACTCTCGCAACCCAGTAATAAAAAGACCAGTTAAAAATGGGCAAAAGGTCTCAATAAACATTTCTCTAAAGAAGAGAAACAGAAGATAAGATGACCAGTAAGCACATGAAAAGATGCTCAGCATCATTAATTACCAGGAAAATGCAAGTCAAAACCACAGTGAGTTACAACCTCACAACCAACAGGATTGTTATTCAATCACTAAGTCATGTCTGACTCTTTGTGACTCCATGAACTGCAGCATGCCAGGCTTAAACCATCCTTTACTGTCTCCTGAAGTTTGCTCAGACTCATGTCCATTAAGTCAGTGATGTCATCCAACCATTTTATTCTCTGTTGCCCCCCTTCTCCTCCTGCCCCCAATCTTTCCCAGCATCAGGGTCTTTTCCAGTGAGTTGACTCTTTGCATCAGGTGGCTCTTCACATCAGCTTCAGTGTCAGTACTTCCAGTGAATATTCAGGGTTGATTTCCTTTAGGACTGACTAGTTTATCTCCTTGGTGTCCAAGGGACTCTCTAGAGTCTTCACCACAATTTGAAAAATCAATTCTTTGGTGCTCAGCCTTTCTTATGGTCCAGCTCTCACATCTGTACATGACAACTGGAAGAACCATAGCTTTGACTATATGGATCTTTGTTGGCAAAGTGATGTCTCTCACCAGTAGGATGGTTGCAATTAAAATGATAAAAGTTGGCAAGAATATAGAGAAACTGTGACTCTTGTACATCAG